TGAAACATTGGAAGGGGGCATCACCTGCTCCTGGGTGGAACACCAGGATGATGGTCAGCTGCTCTGCCTTGCTGTTCCCACAACCTCTCCTTCCTGCCCTCTGCTTGTCCTTGGCTTCCCCGGCTCCATACCGAATCCCTCAGCAGCTCTGGGACTGGGCAGGCGTGGTGGGCAGCTCCCAGGCCCAGCCTCTTTTCCCGTGTCCACTCTCCAGATAAGGTGGTCATCTACTCTGTGAAGCCCTTCACCAAGGAGGTGCTGCAGTCACTCCCACTGACCAAAATCATCCATCACTACCAGCTGTTGACTGAGGAGAACATACCCGAGAACCCGCTGCGCTTCCTCTACCCGCGCATCCCCCGGGATGAGGCTTTCGGGTGCTACTATGAGGACAAAGGTGAGAGTCAGTGACATACTTCACTGGTAGATTGCAGGCATCCAAAATTCCAACTCCTTCCTTACAAACATGGGAAAACCAATAACCAGAGAAGTTAAGGGATTTGTTTATGGGACACTGCTAGTTAATAAGGAGATATGACTGTCACGACCATTGGTCTGTGTCCAGTCCACTGACCTCGACACCCCTTGTGTATGTCCCCCACAGTTAATCTCCAGGAACGAAAAAAATACCTGAAACACAAGCTCATTGTGGTCTCTAACAGGTGAGCTGGGGACTCCCCGGCCCTCGCCTCACCCCGTCTGGCTGGCACAGGGACCCGGACCTGCCCACCCCTGCCTCCCTGGCCTTCTCTGCTCCTCACTTGCGCTCTCCAGGCCTCTAGGTTTCCTCCTGCTCTTCTAGTCTCTTTCTCCTCTGTTACCCTGCTGCTGTGCTTCCGTTCTCTCCCTGGGCTCCCTGATCACAGTGCTCATAATCACTGATGTTAACGGGCATCTGCTTGATGCTAGATACTTTTAGAACATTTTTAAAAATGGAATCCTTACAAGAATTCATGTGAGCAGGAACATTTAATGAATGTTTATTAAGTACCAGGCACAGTGTGAAACCTGTGTGTTCATTCTCTCCTTCACTGTCTTCACGGTGGTCCTGTGAGGCAGACGCTGTTATTGCTGTGTTTGGCTAAGGAAACTGAGGGTTAGCAGAGTGAAGGGCCATGTTTAAGATGCGTGGCTGCTGTCAGATTTCCATGCCCTGCTTTTAGCCATATTCCTGCCTCTTAAGCATTATTATGTATTGTTCCCATTTTACAGATGATAAATCTGAGGCTCAGAGAAGTTAATTAACTTGCCTAAGGTCACCCAGCTTGTAAACGATAGGATTCAAACTCTGGCAAAGCCTGTGCTTTTTTTTTTTTTTTTTTTTCATTTTAATTTGTATTTATTGATTTTGCAGAGAGGGGAGGGAGGGAGGGAGAGATCAATCTATTTTTCCACTTCTTTATCCATCTTTTGGCTGATTCTTGTATGTGCCCTGACTGGGGATCGAGTCTACAACCTTGGTGTTTCAGGACAATGCTCTAACCAGCTGAGCTACCTGGCCAGGGCAGAGCGGGGAGGCTCGTACTCTTAAGCCCTCTTCTCTGTTACCTTCTTACACTGGAGAGGTAGCCTCTGTTTGCCCTACCATCCCCCACTTCACCTAAACAACTGAGCCTTCTCCCTTTGCCTATATTGGAATATCCAGGCAGGTGGATGAGCTGCAACAGCCGCTGGAGCCTAATCTGGAGCCAGAAGTGGAGTCACTAGATCTGTCCCCAGGGCTGGCACCAGGGCCAGAGCCAGAACTAGGCCTGGGGTTAGAGCCACTGCTAGAGGCAGGGCTGGACCTGGGGCCGTCACTGGAGCCCATACTAGGTGTGGTGCAAGAGCCAAACCTGGGACCAGAACTGAGGCTGGAACCTATTCTGGAGCCTATTTCACAGTCGGCACCAGAGCTGGAACCAGATTTGCCCCATGACTTGAGACACTTGAACACTGAGGAAATGGAAAGTAAGTGATGAGATGGGGCTAGGGAAACGGTGGGGGGGGGGTACCTTTCCTTTCCCAATTCCTCTCCCTTACCCATTACAGAAAAGGCCCAGATCTAAGCTCCTGCTTGGAGAGGAGGCTTATTTCTTTGTAATTCCTTTCATTAGGAAACGCACACACCAAGTGCTGCCCCACCCAAGTGTCCCCTCAGGCCCTTCCAGCCCTCACTTTCCTTGTTGGGTTAGGAATTCCTTGCCTAAGATCAGGGCCTGACTTCTTTCTCTGGACTACCCAGTCTTCAGGAACAGCATGAAGATTGAAGATATCATGCCAAACGGAGACCCACTATTAGCTGGCCAGAACACTGCGGATGAGGCTTACGTCTTCCACCCCAGCCATTTCTACACAGATGGGCCCCTGATTCCTTCTGACTACTAGGAACTGTGTTTCCTCTGTTCTTCCCATGTCTTTTACCCCCACCATCCCCCACATCATGATGTGATGTCGTTCTCCAAGGATGGGAAACCAGGCGTGTGCCCCTTCTAAGCTGGTTGAACCTTGTGACTTGGGGTCAAAGGTACAAGCATAGAGCGGGCCGACGTTGGGCATCGCTCTGACTAGGACCCTGGGGGCTGCCAGCTGTGCCGGGAAGTATAGTAGTTTTAGGAGCAGGCCAGGATGGTTTGCAGGTGTGTGGAGAGGTCAGAGTTGCTTCTTTCCAGTTGGAGGGATTTCAGAATTTTGATAGCTGGTAAGACCAACCCGGTGCCCACACTTTTTATAGTATGGATAGCACTGGCCCATGGTGGGGAACTGCCACAGGACAGGACTCCATCTTCCCCTCGTGTCTAGGTGAACCTTTTCCTTTCTTCTTCCCCTCGCTCCCGACTCAAGTCCTAAATCCTCTTTTCCTGCAGGGACTGAGAGCTTTCTGCCTCAGCCACCATGTGCAACTCCCCCTCTGAGGAAGGAAGTAAGAGGTAGAGCTCCTTTTCCTACCAGTCTCCTCCTCTGCCCTGCAAGCTGGCCACACCCATTCCTCCCTCGGAAAACTATCCCGCCGGCCTCACGTGCCTGTGAGGCTTTGCACAGTAACTTGCTCTGCCCGGTTTCTACTTTCCCAGTGCTTAGGAGGCAGATCACTCCTGGAGGCCAGGGATGGTACGGTTGCTGGGAATTCAGGAATTGCTTTTTATAGTACAGATAGAATTTGGTATTTTTACAGAGGAAGAGAAGCCCTGGGTCTTGTATATTTCTGTATTGAGATATCATCCCTTTCTTTTGTACAATATATTATTTACCTGAAAAGATGGTTTCTGTTTTTTGGGCATGGACCCGGAAGTCCCTGGAACTTAGAACCTCGAAGGTTCATCATGAAGGGCTGGCCATTCCCAGGGAGCCCCGGGATGACCGCTGTTGATTTACTGTGCGCTTCTAGTAAAACTTGAGATGTGAGCAAAGCCAGGGTTGTACATGTGGTGGTTCCTGCCTGGTATGTTACAGTCATTTTCAACCTGTGCATCTTATGGTGTACATAAACTAATTACTGAAATTTTGTGCCACACCAGAAAAACAAATTGTCTTCTGATCTGACAAAAAAAAAAACAAAACAGGTATAATTTTGATTCATTCACACCAGACAGATGGCTGTTGTTGTGTTGGCTGTTGTCATTGTTTTGTAAATTCTTGTGGCACACCAGTTGCAAACCACTATGTTGAAGGAACAGTACTGTTCAAAAAGAGGCCTGTCTGAGCAGAATTGGGTAATAAACTTTGTGCTGACCTACAAGTGTTTACTCTTTGAACTTCTTTACTTCTCACAAAGAAGCTTCTTCTTACTGCTCACAAAGACTAACGTTCTTTTTTTAAATTTTTTTTAAAGATTTTATTTATCTTTAGAAGGTAAGGAAAAGAGAGAGGGAAAGGAATATCAGTGTATGGTTGCTTCTCATGTGTCCCCTGCTGGGAACTGGCCTGCAACCCAGACATATGCCCTGACTGGAAATCAAACCACGATCCTCTGGTTCCCAGGCCCGCGCTCAATTCACTGAGCTACACCAGCCAGGGCAAAGACTAATGTTCTTGAAGACATCAGCAGGCCATGCAGGATCAAGGTCAGCAAATCACGGCCTGTTTTTCACCTACCTCAGCATACCCCTTTTGTTACGTTTCTTCTTCTTACCTCCCTGTTTACAGCAGTCTTTCCTGACCCACAGAGTCTCCAAGGGTGCAGTGAGCTATATTTGGGGGGATGGTTACATAACTACCCATCGTTCCTCAACTGGTTGGTGCCAAAGCCCAATTTTAAACCTGGATCTGTCTGACCCCGAAGCCCATGTCTCTTTTTGATGTTGTGAAGGTGGAGAAAAGGAAGGGAAGTAATCACCAGCTATTTCCCATACTCTTTCTAAGACGATTTATTTATTTTTTAAGATTTTATTTATTTAATTTTAGAAAGGGGAAAGGAGGGAGAAAGAGAAAGAGAGAAACATCAATGTGTGGTTGCCTCTTGAGCGCTCCCCTACTGGGGACCTGGCCTGCAACCCAGGCATGTGCCCTGACTGAGAACTGAACCAGCAACACTTTGGTTCACAGGCATTCAAATCTACTGAGCTACACCAGCCAGGGCTCTAGGCAGTTTATAAGCAAACTCCCTTCTGAAGGGCCCACAGAAATCCATTGAGGGAGAATCCCATTGGTTTTGGGGATTTGCCTTTATCTTCCTGGAATGTGCTTCCTGCTCCAACAACTCTGATTTTGGTCCTGCAGTGATGGGTGTATTTGTCTTTGGCCAAATACACTCTTGGCCCAGAAAGCCAGGAAGGAGGCACTGGGTAGGGGAGCAAGGGAGGTGCCCCATTTCCTAATCTCAATCCCTTGTCATATCTTTCATCTTGTTTAGCCATAGAGATTAAGATGGAAAAGATCCCAGTTACTCCAGCTGTACTCCAGGGGCCAAAGGGACACTGCCATACTGCTGCAGAGCAGAAGTATGCGTATTGTAGTCCCTTGTCCCTATTTTTTCATTTGCTTTTTCCCATCCAAACCTAGAAATGAGACTCAGGTACCACATAAATAAGTTTATTGAAAAAGTACATAATTCAGTATAAATACAATAAATAATTCTCCCCCTTAAACTGCTGCCAAGAGGATAAATAATCCCAAAATTTCCCTTCCCATCTAATAAATAGCAAGAACTAGGTCAGCATCATCAGAAGTCTGCCAGTGTGAGTAACTTTTCAACACACAGGTCCCGTTAGAATTAATGGGCTGATTGACTTGCCGGTTCACATCTTGGCTTTGCTGAGCCATGAAGGTCTGGATGCCATCCTTTGGCTGTTGGCTTTAGGGGCTCAGAGTCACAGCTCCATGGGCAAAGACCCGGGCAGCTACGGCCATAAAGGCCTGGAGGCTGCGAAGGATCTTGGGGCGGAGCAGGAGACGCTGCCATGGTTGACTGGGACCCAGGCTTGGAGTCTGCTCAGTCTCCCAGTGGTGCCCCTCGGGCTGAAAGGACACAAGACACAATTAGAGAGGACTCTAGACCCTTCACCCCCACCCCTAGTCTGTCACAGATTCCAAGCCACCGTATTCCAGGCCCCCCTCGCTCATACCTGCAAAAGTTGCCTGAGACCCAGTAAGGACGCGTGCAGCTGGCTCACGGGGCCACCGGGGAGCAGGGAAGGCTCCCCTGTGAAAATGTCTGAACCCAGCAGCTTCTCATAAAAAACCAGGCCCTGGTGGATCCTTTGCAAGCAGGACTAGGAGGAGAAAACAGTGAAAGAAAACTAACACCCTCTTTCTGCTCCACTCAACAAGACCGATCTGGGTCTTTGCCTTTCCCAGACACAGTTAAGGGCAGAATGCTCATGTCCCCCAAACGTTCCCACTGAGACCCTAGCCCCCAGCGTGATGTTAGGAGGTGGGGCCTTTGGGAGGAATGGGAGGGAAGGCCCTCGTGAATGGGATTAGAGTTTATAAAGGAGACCCATGGAGCCCCCTAGCCCCTTCTGAGGACACAACTTGGAAGAGGGCCCTCACCCAACCATGCTGGAACCCTGACCTCCCTGGGCATGAGCCTGGAGAAATTTGTTTTTCACAGCCTCCAGAACTGTGAGAAATTTCTGTTTATAAACTACCCAGTCTATGGTACGTTGTTATAGCAGCCCGAATGGACAAGGACAGATACAACTTTTACTAATTCACCGTGGTGCCCAGATATGTCCCCATTCCCTTCTTCCTTGTGGCCCAGCCTTATCTTAGTACCTGACTGTTGTCCCTGAGTCCTTGGGGATCACAGCCATCCTCACACTGGATATGGGGCACATCATCTGTAGTCTCATCATCTTCCTTTTCTCCCACTTCTCTTGGAAGATCCTAGAAAGGAGCAGAAGCATAAAATGAATACTTTTGAACCCCACATGGACTCTGAGGCCCATGACTTTCCCAGGAGCCCCATTCCCCTGTCCTCTCTCCCTCCCTAATGGCCTTCAACCCTCCAGCTTCCACCCAAGGCCACAGAGTCTTCCATGCAGCCTTGGAGAGTCTGGAGAGGCTTCTCTTTCGTCCCCGAGGCTGCCACTCACCACACGTCCCAGGGCTGGATGTGCACTCCAGGCCAGTGTGCAGAGCTTCTGTGAGAGCTGCTGGCACCGAGCCCAAGAGGGGCTGCTGCCTTCAGGCACAGCCCGGCCCCGAGCAGCCCAGGGTAGTAGCACCAGCAGCAGCAGCAGCAGCACCACAACTCTGCTTCCCAGCATCTTGGTCCTGCTTCTCAAATCCAGCTGGCTCTGTGCCTTGCACCAGTCCCTGTGGAATCTGCCCACTTCCCTTTGCTCTCTGAACAGAGAGCCCGATTCTCTCTGTTCCCTGCGTCTCTGTGTTGGTTTCCTCTGTTCACTGAAGTTCTGAGCTGCTTCCTTTAATTTTCTCCCCTTGTCTCTGCGTCCCTTTTTAAGGTCCCTGCATTGTAACACCCGCCCTTTATACTAGCAGGTGACTCACAGCAGGTGGGATTCCCCTCCCTGCATCATCCCCCTCCATGGAGAGCCCAGGTATGCAGCCCCAGTTCCAGGGGAAATGACTCGTTTGGTTGCCGTGTCTGGAAGCCTGGGATGAGACATATGTGTAATGCTCTCCAGGAATTGAAATGGCTGTAGAAGGGGGTGGGGTGAGAGTAACAAATATTCAAATGAGCCTAGTTTCAAGTTCTTTCCTGTTTAACCTTTTTCTCTTTTTTTTTTTTGCCTCTCAGAGATATGTCCCTCCAACTAATTTCCTTACCTCCCCCTGCTTACAGAAAAACCAAAACAGAAGCATTCATTTATTTCCCAATAAGAGGGCAAGCTCAGTTTAGAATGAAGTTTGGTTCCCACTAGATGCCCTCCAGAAATAAGAGGGCTCTTTTTCTCCATTGAAAACAGTGTTATTTTCACTGGGACAGAATGGACTTGAAGGCACTTTGAGAACTAGGAAGCCATATAAATGCTGTATGAAGTGTTACTGCTTCTCCACTTCAGGCCTCACTGTGTAGGGTAGAGGAGCCCTTGGAGGGGGCACTTGTTGCCAACACCCAGCTGATTGTTCAACCTCAGTGGCCCAAAGTTTCATGGGAACTGTAGGATACTAGTAATTTTTTTGCTGGGGGGACACCAGTGTAAACAAGGGCTAGACGTCCAATTTAGGCATTCCGGCCCCTACACCATGGCTAAAAAGTCCAGGAGTTCTGAATAGCTGAAGGTGTACAGTGTCAGTGACCCTGGCCATTCCTTCAGCCTGTTGCATCCATGGGTAAAATCCGCTGACACTGATTTCATCACCCTCTCTGATGCAACGTCAGTGAAACAGCTGAGAGTGTGAGGTTAGGCGTGGGAGAGGAGGGTGGTCCAAATCTGGGGCTGCCCCAAACCTAGTGGAGGGTCCCAGGACAATTTGGACGTGAGAATGAGCCATGAGTGACCACACAGATAGCTCCCAAAGCCTCCCCAAGAGGTTGACCCTTTTCCTCTGAGAAATTTACCCTCATCAGAGGTCTCCCTTCCCTTAGAACTACTCAAAGCTGCCCAGTGAAACTTCTGATTCAAATATGACTCCCTGGTAAATCCACCCTTTGAATAAAACATTTCCAGCATCAGAGATGTTAATCTCAGTTTGAGTGAGAAGTAGTTTGCTTCTGCCCACATACTGTGGATACACATGGAATAAGGAAATTGGTGGTGGCCAGTGGAAGTAAGGGAGCTCACCTCACTTTTGCATAATGTGTCCTGTGCTTTTCCCACCTCTGATCCCCATTCTGGGAGCCCTAAAGGTTAGTAGATGAAAGGTGAAAAGGAGGAGGAGGAAGTGGAGCCCTAGGGGATGAGATGACAGGCACAAGGGTGAGCTGGAGGCATGGGGTTCTGCAGCTTTGTTTCACTTCCTGATGCTTCGGGAGCTGGGTAGGAAGCAAGGTTGGTGGGGCGACTGTGGGACTGTCGTGTGACAGGAATTACTTCCAGGACTAGATATGACCTGGAGCTGCAAGGAGACTTTGACGTCAGCAGAGCTTTAGCCATTATGCAAATCTCATTCACAAGACATTTGTAAGCAGACCTTTCCAGTTAGACGCCTAGGCTCCAAATCCAGTTGAAGTCCCCCCAGGTGGTTAATAATGATGGCTAATATACAGGGTGGGGCCAAAGTAGCTTTGCAGTTGTTCATATGGAAAATAATACAATAATTAATACACAGTACAAGAAAAAACTATTTTGTGTACTCACCACCGTAAACTTACTTTCGCCCCATCCTGTATATCCAACTCTCACTTTACGCCAAGTACTTGATCTAAGCACTTTTCATGTATTAACCCATTTAATTCTCATGACAAACTAATGAGGTAGGTACTATTATTATCCCCATATAACAAAAGAGGAAACTGAGGCACAGAGATTAGTAACTTGCCCAAGATCACAAAGCTATTAAATAGCCAAATTCCAGTGCAGATGATCTGGCTTCAGAGCCTGCATTTCCAACCATTCTATTATAGTAGACACTGTGAAGAGATAAAGAGCATTGGATAAAGTAGCTCACTTAGCCCAGGTATCTCTGGGTATCTCAGATCCTGTATTTCTCTTGGGACTGTAAAGTCTTTCTCAATTTGAAACCTCAGTATGGAAATCTCTCTAAGTGTAGAAGTTATCTAGGTCTTTCAGCATCCATCTCTTGACAAGATTTTAAGTCTAAAGACATGTGAAGTCAGTTTAATTTGAGAGACCCTCTGAGTTGAGGTATTTTTCTCTTGGTCTATGACCTCTGACTAAGTCTAGGACCATGCTGAGTCCTGAAGTCTAAATTCTGGGGTCCTTATATAAAGAAAGGCCTGTGTACCAGCCTTTACTGAGGGTGAGAAATGTTTTAAAATAGTATTCTCTATGAGGAATTTTTTCCACCAAAGACGCCCTCTATGTGGCCTTTACAAACTGAGCTTAAGCGCCTTGAAGACACCTCACAACCCGGATCTATTTCAAAGCAGTTAAAGCTCAGGGTTGGGACCCAAGAATCCCTCTGAATGACTGTTGATGCTAAATCTGTAAGAGTTTCGGGAAGGCAAATATCACAATTTACCGTGCTCGTGCCCCACTGAGGGGTAATGTCCAGCTCCAAGAGCTAGGGGAATTTGATAGCTGGGGAGTCCTATTCCCTAGGAATATTACCAGGGCCTCTGGGGGAGGTTATAATCACAGATGGGAGTTTCAGATAGATGCCCTTAGAATCTCAGAAGATGCAGCCTCTTGGGCCCTGTTAGGGGCCTGACTCCCGCTTCCTTTTTTCTCTCGCCTATCTGGAAGTGATAGGAAATGCCAGAAAGTTTCGGGGGCAACAGAGTCAAAAGTGGAATAGCTCACAAGAGCACTGGGAAAGAGGGGATGGACCGGCTACAGTGGGAATACCCAGCAGTCGATCCCCAGGGCTTTGCCTTGAGCGTCCCTGATTAGTTTCTTAAGCTACAGGAACATGGAAGTTCTGCTTCGGAACTGACGTTCTCTAATTTTGCTCAAAGAAGGCTGGAAAGACAAGGGATGACTTTTCCGCAGCATCCTAGAGTCCGGCGATGACTACATTTGTCCCCATCGGCGTGCCGTAAGCCTTGTTTTTGCCTAGCTCTTTGCACCAGTCTCCTCGCGGAGCCTTCTGAACCTGGCTCCTTCTGATTGGTTTAGATGAGCCCCAAATCCTTCCTGATTGGAAACTACGACTGGGAGTCCGCCTTTTTTCTGTGGTGGAGTTCGGTTGACCCTGAGGCGCGGGGAAGAATTGGGGAAACTGGAATTTCCCGCGTAGCTGACGGCGCTTGTTCTCCCCCTACTCGTTTTAATTCCACGCGCTCCAAAATATCCGCCATGGAGAAATCTTGGTAATGACCCAATCCCCGTAAGCATCCTAGGAACACATCTGACCCTTGCCCTAAACCCTCCCTTCCCTACCGCCGGGGGAGAATTCTGGGTAGTTGATTTCAGTGGTTCCCCCAGGGAATTCTGGGTAACTAGCCATTTCTATCACGTCCTCCTACCCCCCGCCCCAATTGTGGGTAACTGGCCATTCTTATTTTCTCTTAGAGAATCCTGGGTAACATTACAGAAGATTGTGGGAAACTAGCTTCTTTTGTTCTCATCTCGCAACTCTCCACCCCCAACCCTAATTCTGGGGAATTAGCACCTTACCCCCCCCCCCCCCCCCAATCTAATTCCTACCTCTTCAATTCCTGCTCCTTCCACTAATGGTTCAGGGGTGAACCGGGCAAGTGAGCAGGCCTGAAGGGAAGTGAAAAGGAAGTCGAGGACTATGTTAGATGGTTGGGTCGGGGTGGGGAGTGTACAGAGAGCATAGTGGGAAAGAGGAAGGGAGGATACTTCTCCCACCTCTGCCCCACTGTCCCCGACCTTCATCCCCTGCCTACCGCATCCCTTGCCTGCCGTGTCTTCCTCCTTTCTAGATAACATGTAACACACTAAATACAAGTATCTGGGTGTACCCCTGACTTAGTTACCTCTTTCCCTTTACAGGCTAGGATGCCCACTGGTGCCGTCCTGCTGAAGGTTGGGTCAGGCATCTAAAGGGGCTGTGGCAAGGTAGGGTGTGAAACGGGTCTAATCTGCTGCAGCCATCATCATGAACTTCGAGGGTCTGGACCCTGGACTGGCAGAGTATGCCCCGGCCATACATTCTGCCTTGGACCCTGTCCTGGATGCCCACCTGAACCCAAGTCTGCTACAGAATGTAGAGCTGGACCCAGAGGGAGTGGCCTTGGAGGCTCTTCCTGTCCAGGAGTCAGTGCACATAATGGAAGGTGTCTACTCTGAACTGCACAGTGTGGTGGCTGAAGTGGGTGTGCCTGTCTCCGTCTCCCACTTTGACTTGCACGAGGAGATTCTGTGGGTGGGAAGCCACGGGGTAAGAACCGGACCCCTTTGTAAGAGCTGAAAGGAGATGTTGGATGTTGTATCTGGTTTTAGCTGCTTCGCAAGTAGCCATAATTGACGTAATGAGAGATAGCTGGGTCTCTGAGTCAGGCCAAGAGGAAGAGAGTAGAGAAGGGGAGTCCTGGCACCCAGGGATGTCACATAGGTGCTCTTTTTCAGAAGCCACTCAACTTCTACCACAATCTGCCATTGTGTAAACTTCACTCACCTTGTCAAATCAATTTGCTTTGATTAATCTTGATAGCTGTTAGTCTGTAGCCATCCAAATCCAATTTCCAATTCCTCTCCTCTCTTTTCCATTTTTATCATTATACAATGATTAATGCACGTTTCTTTATATCTGGCATGGCATCATTCTATCTTCTCTGGCTGATTTAATATCTCTGAGAGTGGTTAATCAATGTTGATTTTTTTAAATGTGTATCTATACTGCCAATATGCTTGTGAGCCCAAAGATTTTGGAAGAGAATAACATGCTAGCCTTGGTTTACTAATTTATCATACATAGAGTATAAATTGTTTTTCCATTAGAAATCTGGAATGAAAACAAATTTTTTTGGCGATGAATTCTTTTCAGTGGGCAATATCTACCGCTATACTAGGCCCAGATAATTAAGCTGAATAAAACATAATCTTTGCCTTCAAGGAGTTTACAGGACAATAAGGGGAAAAGACATATAAGCAGATGATTCATGGTACTTTAGAAGAAACTAAACTGCTTGACTTAATAATGAACCTAGGATATAAACTACTAAATGCCAGTGTAAAAATATGTACCAGGTGCTGGAGAGGCAAGAGGAGAGTCAGAGCACCTCCAAAAGGAAGTGACACAAGAACTGAGTGCTAAGAGATAAGCAGAAATCAGGTGAAGAAAAGAGGAGAATGCTCTTTTGGCACAAGCAGTGGGATAAACAAAAATTCCCAGTGCATAACACAGCATAGTGACTGCAGAATGCAGGAACTAAAAACAATTAGGGTTTACTGGACTAGAATATGAAGCTGAAGAATTAGACATTTCTTCATTCAACCAGTATTTTTTGAGCACCTACTAGGTGCCAGATCTTGCTCTGGGGTCTAAGTTTGGAATAAGCACTTTAAAAGGGAACAAAAATAATTTCTAGTACAAGGGAGGATCGAAGAGAACCTGGATTTTTATTTATAAAAAACTGTGTATTTATTTTTACATGTGTAAACTTCACTCTCCTTCAAAGTACTTCCCATTTGATGCAATACACCTATCGAGACTTTTTTCCACTGCTCAAAACAGTTTTTGAGCCTGTCAATTTTGATGCCTTTTAGTGCTTTTGCTGTTTTTTGTTTCACCTCTTCCACATTGTCAAAATGTTTCCCTTGGAGGACTTTTTTTATCCATGAAAACAAAAAAGTCTCTTGGGGTGAGATCATGTAAACAGGGAGGGTGGGGCATGAGGGTCACCCCATTTTTTATCAAAAACTGCTGAACACTCACTCAGTGCATTGTGGGTAGGTGGGCTTATAAATCGGCCATCGTGAAATGGGCAAACGCATTGAAAGTCTTCCCAAAAAATTCACTGAAGCTGAACGTGGCCTCTCACAACACCACCAGCTGGTATATTGATACAGATAGGTTCTCAGAACACTCACCTAGCAGGGGAAGCCTTTATTTACTACAAAGGGCCTCCCCTCCAGAAGGTAATTCCATTTTTCCGGGGGTTCCCATTAGTATATCAAGTGTTGCTTAGTATTTTTAAGAAAAACAGTAAGGGTGTTAAGGTAATGAAGGGTGGGAGGTACTTCTATTTTAGATAGTTGGTTGGGGAAGGTCTCTCTGATAAAGTTGCATTTGAGCAGAGACCTGGGTGCAGGCCAGGATGCCTATTTTAAGCCATGTGGAAGGGAGAGAGGGAGCCATGCAGATATCTGGGGGAAAAACATTCTGGAAAACCCCATATGTTATCTTAAAGGTGCTTGGACTTCATCCTTCAGGCCATCAAAGATTTTTATCCAGAATGACAAGGTCTGATTTGCAGTTTAGGTGGATTACTGAGGTAGCAGCGTAGAGTTTGATTTAAGGGGGATGAGGTAGGGCCATCTGAGATCACTTTTCAGGTTGTCATTCAGGCCTGAATGAAGCACTGTAGAGATGTATACATGAAAACAGATTTGGGAAATATTTAGGGAGTAAAATAAGATTTGACTACCAGTGACTTGGTCCACTAGGCAGATCGCGGTACCATAGGGAATACAGTTAAGAATTGAAATGGGATAAAAGTGGTGAATTTAATTGAGGCTGTAATGAGTTTGAACTTCTCGTGGGATATCAAAAAAAGATGTTTAGTCAGTATTTGGATGTAAAAGTCTGAAGCTTGAGGCAGTGATCTGGATTAGGAAGGAGTTGGGATTCATCAGCTTAAAAATGGACGATCGAAACCTTGACAGTGGATGGGATTACCTAGGAAGACAGTAGAGTGAGAAGACAGTGTGCTGGGAGTAGCCATATTTCAAGAGTGGTCGGTCAGGAGAGCACAGGAAGAGGGTGTGAGCTAAGAGGAGAGAAGCCAGCAGTGAGTGACACAGGAATGAGAGGAATGAGTTTCACATTCTCTGTTCCAGCCTGTGACCCACAGCACACGTTTCCCTCATGGCTGGTAAAGATTAAGACTTGACTGTGGAACGTAAGAAACCCAGGTGGGTGGACATCTACTTTTATTCAGTTTCTTCTTAAGGTGAAGAAAACTGTAAATGTCCTAGAGAAACACAGTAGCCTTCTGTTCACCTTTTGCAAGTAAAAAGGGATCGTCCCACTACTGACATTAAGAAAGAAAGAAACCCAGGCGGCCAGTGGAGGGTCAGACCCCATGTGGCTGACCTTCGGAACAGCGTTCTAACCAACTGAGCCACTACCCACTCAGCAGGGTTGTTGCGAGGATGATAGCAGTTTACAGAAGTCCTTTGTAAAGCATTAAACATAAGATGGTATTTTCAGCCTGTTTATCACCAAGGTTGGTGTGTAGACTTACGTCTTGATTGCTGCAAGCCAGAAAGGCCAGGAAGCAAGAATGGAAACAAGCTGAGCAAAGGCTTGTTCCTGAATTCTATCTGGGGTGGCCCTGCCCTTCTACTCAGGGTGTCTCATCTTTTTTGTCTGCTCCAGGGTCATGCCACTTCATTTTTCGGCCCAACCTTGGAGCGCTACTCATCCTTTCAGGTCAATGGCAGTGATGACATTCGGCAGATCCAGAGCCTGGAGAATGGTGTCCTTTTTCTCACCAAGAACAACCTCAAGTACATGGCCCGTGGGGGCCTCATTATATTTGATTATCTGTAAGTAACTTCTCAGCTCTGGACTGAAAGTCCCTCATAGAAGGGGAAGACTATGGCACTGGGAACTTTAGAGACACTGACCCCTTAGCCTTTCCTCTCCCCCAGGCTGGATGAGAGCGAAGATATGCACAGCCTTCTGCTGACTGATAGCAGCACACTGCTGGTTGGTGGGCTGCAGAACCACATACTGGAGATCGACCTTAACACTGTCCAGGAGACGCAGAAGGTATAAGCCTGGGGCAGGAGAGACCCAAGCAGGGTCTGAGTTACTGTGGCGGGACAGTGGGTAACACCTGAGCTGGGGACATGCCTAAAATGTGTGTGTGTGACCTTTCTGTTCTTTTGGTTTGTTCTCACTGCTTTTTCCTTCTTCCTTCCCCAGTATGCAGTTGAGACACCTGGAGTCACCATCATGAGACAGACAAACCGCTTCTTCTTCTGTGGCCACACATCTGGCAAGGTGGCTGAGTGCCATTTTTCCTCCCAGCACCGGGCCCCATTTCACCAGATGGGTGGCTAGGTCCAGCCTTGCCTTCAATGCTATGCCTGTAGCTGGAGGGGAGAGAGTGGCCAGCTGAGTCCCCATCCAGCCTTGTTATACTGTAAAATTAATCTTTCAGCCTCATGTTTTCTGTTGTAAGTAGGTACCCCGGGGGCAAAAGGGTAACCTTTCTCCTTGGGATCCCTTTCAGCTCTTAGCTTCTCTTTTTGCCTTCTGTGTGCTTTAATTGCCCCTATCTAGAGGCTTAGTGGGGGTCTCACAGTATTAGGGAGGTGGCCGGTATTCTTCCTGATAACAGCTTTGGCAGATAACCAGCTTATCTCTTCTTCAGATTTCCCTTCGAGACCTTCGTACTTTTAAGGTGGAGCACGAGTTCGATGCTTTCTCGGGGAGTCTGTCGGACTTTGACGTGCATGGCAACCTGCTGGCCACTTGTGGCTTCTCCAGCCGCCTCACCGGCCTTGCCTGTGACCGTTTCCTCAAGGTGTATGATCTGCGCATGATGCGTGCCATCACACCAC